AGGCATAGTGGTGCTCACGTTTAACTCGAGCACTAGGGAGACAGAGGCAGGCAGATCTTTAAGAGTTCAAGGCTAGCTTGCACTACATTGAGAGTTCCAAGACAGCCAGAGATACTACTAAAGCAAAGCAAAGCAAAGCAAAGCAAAGCAAAGCAAAGCAAAGCAAAGCAAAGCAAAGCAAAGCAAAGCAAAGCAAAGCAAAGCAAAGCAAAGCAAAGCAAAGCAAAGCAAAGCAAAGCAAAAACAAAGAAAGAAAACAAACAAACAAATAACCCCAACTAAACAACAAGAAGAAAAACATGGAGGATAAGAAATCTGTCAAAGATGATCTCATGCCCTTTTCAACTTTATTCTTTAACTTTTTAAATTGTTTTGGTGCTGGGCATGGATCCCAGCCCACAAGCACGAATTCTACTACTCAGCCACACACCCAGCTTTCCTCTGCCTTTTGTATTCACTGATGATGACGGTGGTTTTTTTTGTTGTTGTTTTTTGTTTTTTTGAGAGACAAGGTCTATGTAGCTCTGGCTATCCTGGAGCTCACTATGTAGACCTGGCTAGCTTGGAACACACAAAGATCCACCTGCTTCTGCTGATATTAATAAAGCTTTCCTGATTCTGGAATTGAGAACAAAGCCAGTTTTAGTTCTGTGAACTAGAATGTTGCAATTTTTGTCCCTTGCCAATATTCCTTTCACTACATTTTTATTTTTGAAAAAGTCATACAACTATAAAATATTGTTAACATGTTAAAACGACAATCCAAAATCCCCAAGACAACAACCAAACAAACAAAAGAATATTATTAGCTTGTGATATGAAACATTTTGAAGTGCCTTTAACTTTGACAGAGACAGATCCTTTCTCACTCACTTCTTTTTTTTTTTTTTTTTTTTTTCGAGACAGGGTTTCTTTGTGTAGTCCTGGCTGTCCTGGAACTCACTTTGTAGACCAGGCTGGCCTCAAACTCTCGAACTCAGAGATCCGCCTGCCTCTGCCTCCCAAGTGCTGGGATTAAAGGTGTGCACCACCACTGCCCGGCTCTTTCTCACCTCTTAAGTTTTAATTTGTTTTCAGTTTTAATTACTCGGCCTAAGAGACACATAAAACAAAAATGCCTCTAACCTATAAACCTCTCTTGTCCAAGGACAGATACTTCCCGAGCTGTAGGAGCCTGTTGTTCATATAAGATAACAAGGCAAATGTTTTCACTTCCCTAAACAAGTGTGATTAATCCAACTGCACCAGAAGAGCTTGATCACACTTAGGATCAAGTATGTCAGGAAGTATATCAGAATGTACTTGCCCCCATTGGACAAAGGTGGCAAGTACATAGCCTTATGAGCTTGCCTTTATAAGCTCCTGGCCAATGTAGCTTTGTAGCCACGCTCTGGAGTGTCCTAGTCATGGGCCTGGCTATTGTTTATCTTCCTGGTCAGTATTTAACTAAAACCTGCTTTATATCTGACTGTAAAATTTTAGTAATGATCTTATTTTTGCCTGGTGGGATTCTCTCTCTCTGTCATTCTCTGTCTCTCTCTCTGTCTCTCTCTCTTTGTATGTGTGTGTGTTCGTGTGTGTATTACAATTCAAGTTCTTGAATTAAACTCAGGTCAGCAGGTTAGGGGGCAGCTACCTTTTACCCACTGAGCCATTTTGCTGGCCTGTTTCCATTTCCTATACAAAAGTATTGACAGATGTTGCCCAATGAGCACATGTCTCTTGAAGGTTATTACAAGATTTAGGGTCACAGGTTCTACCTTCCCCAAGGCCAGATTTGCTTACTTATCTTCAATATGCTAATTAAAAGAGCCATATTAATAGTGGAGAACAGAAAGATTCCCTATGTGGCAACTCTGAGAAAAGGAGAAGTGAAATCCAGTGAGTTCTCCAACGGCATCTTCAGGGTCTGGCATGAGGGTTTTAGAAATAGTTCAGGGTTGCAAAGAAACAGACCACTATTCCAACTGAAATGTCTGAACTCAAGAGGGTGTGTTTGATCTTCAGAAGGAACGTACCTACACAAAAAGTACATTTGGTTTATATTCCAACTCCAGTGGTGGTTGTGTATTTTCCCCATTGGCTAGGGTCTGAACTCACAATCTTATTTAGTTGGCTAGTCTGGAAAAAAAAATGGCACACAGGAAATGAAGGAAAAAGGGGAAGAGGGTTACTGCTCCAAGGAGAAAAAGGTCACTTCTCCTAGGGACTACACAGATCTGGGGACCTTTGTGTAAACAAAGGTTTTACTGGGTGAGGAGGATTAAAATATTTGCATAAAACTCTTACAAGGTGGAAGTAATGCAAAGATCTTATCATTGTCCTAAACAAAATTTTATAGTATTTGATAGAAAAAGACTCGTATTTGATATTTCATACAAATCGAAGGTGGCACACACAGACACACACACACAGACACAGACACACAGACACACACAGACACAGACAGACAGACAGACACACACACAGACACATACACACAGACACAGACACACAGACACATACACACAGACACAGACACACACAAACACACATACAGACACACAGACACACAGACACAGACACACACACACACACACACACACACGCGCGCGCGCGCGCGCGCAGAGCAGCCAAGGCATGGTCCTGTTTGTCATTGTCCTGTTTCCATTCTGTATTGCAAGGCTACAAGGACATGTTCCTCCTTTGGCAGTCCCACCCCTCCAGTCTTTTCTTTTCCCCGGAGGAATTTCTGGGGAGAACTCTTAATTTCTTGGAGTTCTCTGTCTCAGTAGTCTGATAGCCAAAGGAAGAGACTCCAGGCAGGCTAAGAGTTGTGAAGGGGTCCTGAAGGTGGATTAGGAGGTTTGTGAGTGGCTCCAATTGAGTAACTTCTAGCATCTTAGATTTTAGGCTCCTCTGGGCATTTTAAATAAACTTGGCCATTTTTGTGGCAACTGATAACAGGCTGTAGAGACTAGTCTGGCAGTGGGCGATAGGAAGGGATGTAGCCTCAGACTTGGAGGAAGTGATAGGTCTGGGAAGGGCTAGCCACACTTTCACCCAACAGCTTCCTAAGAGTGCTCTGAGGTAAGTTATTCAAAGTATTATTCCTTTCATAGACTTTTAGCTTACTGTTGGGTGTTCAAAATTAGCAAGGCAGAGTCTAATTACAATTTTAGAAAGTGAAGCTACTTACTACCTTGGAGTAACTGTCTCTCTGGCTGGAATGAATATATCTAAGGAGATATTTGTGCCTCTCTTTTTGGTGATTACATTATTGAAATTTTCTCCAGGAATATCCTGTAAGGAGCTGAATGTTTGCAGCTCTGGGGGCCTCCAGAGGAGGAATAACTTTTCAGATGACCTTGCAAGAGATACCTGGAGCTGAGACCGTGTTAGGTCAGGGACCATGCTGTAACCTGACTGATTGCTTAGTTAGGTTTATGTATATTTGAACCCTACCCTTAAACTGGGAAGACAGATGTGTATGTGTGTGTGTGTGTTCAGATTTCTTTTTTTCTTCCTTTTCCCATGTAGTCAACACATTAAATAAATCCCTCCTTTTAATTTTCTTTTTTTAGTTAGGCGTTTTAAATTGGCTTATGGAGGCTGGGTGGTCAAACGTGGCTTATAGGGGCACACGTTGAACCCAAGTCTGTGGTTTTGAGCTAATAATCAGTTGATTTAGTTGAAAAGTTTTAAAGTCCCAAGCTGCTTTAGGTTGGAAAACAAGATTTGGGCTTCCTTAAAGCCTCTTTTTAATCTCCTGGGGCGGTGGCTGCTGTGGGGGTGGGGGCGGGTGGGGTTGGAGGGTGTGGGTGGATGTGGGTGAGGCATTTGTTAAAAGTTACTAGTTCTTACTAGACAGTTCAGAGGTGGGTGTTCTTTCCTATCTCTTCTCTCCTCTTCAAATGCATCTAAAGAATTTACTGTCGTTGAGCAATGGGTAACCACAGGTCAAAGCGTGCCTCAGATCCACACCCCAACCTCCCTCCCCGTCCTCCCAGGTTAGTCAAGGCTGGAGAACGACGAGGTTAACATTTTTCAAATATGGATTTTTTTTTCCCCTTAGCACAGAACATTTTCTTTTGCAAAATAATGCAAGGCATAGACTAAAAAGACTTAAAAGAAAATGGAAAGCAACAAACTACACGCATTTCAAGTTGTACTTATAATTTGTGCGCTTTGGGTGGTGGTAGTGCAGACCTTTAATCCCAGCAATCTGGAGACAGATACAGGCGCATTCCTGTGAGTTTGAGACCAGCCTGGTCTACACAGCTAGTTCTAGGACAGCTAAGGCTACAAAGAAAAACAGTGTCTCAAACCACCAGCCCCACCATTGAAAACAAAACAAAACCGTGAGCTACGATTTCTTTATAACTTTTTGTAGATGATTAAATAGTATGCAGAGTGCTGTTAGATAAAAAAATAAATGTGGGTTGGGGAAGAGGGACTAAAGCCGGGAGTGGTGGTGCACCCCTTTAATCCCAGCAGGCACAGCTAGGGCTGTTACTTAGAGAAACAGAAAAAACAAAAAGAGGGCGGAGGTGGTCTTGTAAATCCGCACGGTAAATTTGAATTCTGTATTTAGCCAATCATTAAAGCCAAAACCAAACCACAAGCATGCTTCTGGTACTGCATACTTCAGTACTCACACTGCAAAATGAAATTGCAGTGGAACTGAGTATCCTATTTATTTGCTGAATATGGCTACCTCGCTCAGACAGGAGCAGGTGGCTTTGTCTTGCGAGTCACAGGCAACAGGTATGTATTCAAATAGGCTTGTAGAGAAAACCAAGGGAAGTGTAATTTGCGCAGTGCAACAGTAGCTAGTGAGTTAAAAATCCGAAGAGCGTTTTTGTTTTTCAGAAGCAGAAGCCTTTTAGTTTCAGATGTGTAGTCCTAAAGCCCATCCCCAGCTTGGAAATCAGGTAGCATAGCCTGGGTCGCCAGCCTTCCTCGTGGGTTACTCAGTTAGCTGGCTCCGCCTAGTTGCAGCTCCGTGGTACCCGCCTGAGCCAAGCCGGAAGTTGGTCAGGCTGCCTCTGCTGATCAAGGTAAGAGTCTGTTCTGTTTAGTTTTCTGTGTCAAGACTCTTGGCAAAGCTTATAAAAAATCAGAGCTAGCTGGGCGACAGCGGCGAGAGCAGGCACCTGCGTGGTCGGGCAGTCAGGAGGCTGCATGAGGGCTGCGCTCGCCAGCAGGGTTGTCTCGATCTCTCTAACGATTTAGGTTCCTAATATGTCTCGTGACTTTGACTAACGAGCCCTAATCCTAAGAAAGGGGTAATCGTAAGGACAGACAAGTGTGCGGGCCTGAAAAGTATTGACTTTAATTGGTGCACCTTAAGAAAAATTGAACAACGGCGACTTGGCTTTTACATTGAAACCTAATGTCAGAGTTTGCCCATGTGAAGTTTACTCCGTGTTTGCGTGTTTGTGTGTGCGTGTCCAGCAGCTACTTTTCTCTTTTCTTTTCCTTTCTTTTCCTTTCTTTTCCTTTCTTTTCTTTTCCTTTCCTTTCCTTTCCTTTCCTTTCCTTTCCTTTCCTTTCCTTTCTTTTCCTTCTCTTTTTGTTTCTTTTCCCATTATGCCTAAGGTCAAAGGGAAAATTTCAACAAGTAAATGTGCTATCTGGAATTTCTTCCAACACAGCTAAACTTTAAGCTTTCAGTTCAGCTGCATTCTTCCTCTCCAGAATTAAAAGGAAGAAAGAAATGTGGACCGATCCTTTTATACTAGGCTAACACAGAGGTGGGATTTAATCTGTTGGTTTATTGGTAACAAAGTTAGGAGTTGTGGAAGAGGGTTTTGTTCAGCAGAGAAGGTTTAGAAGTTATTTTTAGGCACATGTATCCGTTTTGCTCCACCTCTTCTGTCACACCTCTCTTTACACATAGTCAGATTCCTCTTGAATTTCATTTTACAAAGGCACTGTAGGCATGCCTTTTCTGTTGCTACACGTAAGTCATCAATTGTGGCAGGAAAATGTGATAAAAGTTTTTATTAGCTAATAGCACATTTCTAAGAAAAGAACACTTCTTTCAGGTTGATACAATTAGGCATGTTCCATGGAGAGAAGGCTATTTTAACTGGAAACCTGGCTTATGATCTCACTAAGTAGGCCTAGCTGTCCTGGAACTCTCTCTGTAGACCAGGCTAGCCTCAAACTCACAGAGATCCACTTGTCTCTGCCTTCTGACTACTCTGACTAAAAGTTTGTGCCTGGTTAGGTGTTTTAGTTAATTCTTACCAAAGCTTTTCCTTTTTTAAACCTGTACTGCCTCTAAAAATAAGAAGACTAAATGAAAAAGAGAATAAATAGTTTGTTCTGGGTCACAACAGAGGTCCCTGATAGATGATATTGGGTAAATGGATAGGTGAAAGCCAGGGGAGGTGGTTCAGAAAGCTCGATGACCAGAGGTCAGCCCCGAGGTTGTACATGATGGAAGGAGAGAACTGACTTCTACGAGTTGTCCTCTGACCTCTAAGCATGCTGAGGCATGTACCGCCCCCGCCCCCCCACCAAATGCAATTTGAAAATTAGAGGATCAATTCAAACACAGAAATACTGTACAGTTTAATATGGTGGGTCATAGGAGACAGTGTTTGAAGGCATTTAAATGGACACTGCAAATTGTAGGTATTTTAAAATAAATTAAAAAAGGAAATGTGACAGTGTTTGAAAATAGGAATCAAATCTAATTATTGTGTGAGCAATTTAATGTATTTCTTTTTTTCTCTCATTCATTCATTCATTCATTCATTCATTTATTGAGAGGTGTTACGATGTAGCCTGGGGTGTCCTGAACTCACAGAGACCCATCTGCCTCTGCCTCTCAAGTGATAGGACTAAAAGCGTGCCATCAACTTAATGTATTTCTGAACAGTTATATAATTTTATATGTATACTTTAGTAGTCTTTAAAAAAATTATCAGTTGTCAAAACTGCAAAGAATTTCATAATGAATAGAATTATAATAAGTGCTGGGTGGGTCCTGAAGGTAGGATGAGACAGAGAATTTCCTTTATAGAGCCTGGGCACATAGTGCGTGTGGCCCTTTAGAGGAGCAGAGCCCCTCTGCCTGGCCCAGGAAGGCACCTCTCCAGCACTGGCCATGAGCGAATATAGGCTTAGTGTTACCTGATGGCTGGGTTATTTAGAAGAAGTCAGAGGTACAGATTTCTTATGAGTTTTCCTGATCTGCAAGTGTCCACAGCTAATTTGTTTTAAAACACGTGCTTGACCTGTACATGCAGTCACAAACCCCGTGAGCTTATGTGTACAGTGGCTCTGTCATGTCTGGCAAATACTATTTTCATGAGATGGTCCACTACCTCTGGCTCTTAAAATCTTTGTAATATTCCAGATGCCAGAATCTTGGGGAAAAGGAGTACGATATAGATGTCCCATTTAGCACTGAGCATGCCACCGGCTCTGATTCTCTGCAGACTGGACAGTTGTGGGTCCTTATTAATCACTACCTACTGCAAATAGAAGTTTCTTTGATGAGAGCTGAGAGATGCACTATTTTATGGGTAAAAAGATAAGCACTTAAGTGGAAGTTTATTACTATATCCATTTAACAGAATAATAGTATTTAAGATGGAGCTAGCCTAAATCCTAGCATGAATGGGGAGGGATTTATGGAGTCCCATCCTGGCTCCGAAGCAACTGACTACTGATGGGTACTAAAGAAGAGAGAGTCAGTTTTCTTCAGGGATGTGGTCCCTATATATCTACTCAGGCTTCTGTCGATGGTCCTACACCCGTGCACTAAGTGGACTCAGTGCGTTTAAAAACAGCACATGACATTGGAAGGGAAAAGTTGGGGGAGACAGAGGAGAAGTCGGAAGGGAGGAAATAGGGATACATTTGATCAAAGCATTACATGCATGTATGAGATACTCAGTAGAGAAGTGTGGCTTTGGACTATTGTTGGATTGTTTCCCACAAGTTTATGACCTTGACTGAGTTTACGATCTTGACTTCAGCAATAGGACCCAGGCTGACCTTCTGCACTCTTAAAGATTATTGATGCCGTCAGATAATGTGTGTTGTTGTGACAGTTCGGGTATTTGTCATATTAGAAATTCAAACAAGCTGGGCGGTGGTGGTGCACACCTTTAATCCCATCACTTGGGAGGCAGAGGCAGGCGGATTTCTGAGTTTGAGAGTTCGAGGCTAGCCTGGTCTACAGAGTGAGTTCCAGGACAGCCAGGGCTACACAGAGAAACTCTGTCTCGAAAACAAAAACAAAAACAAGAACGAGAACGAGAACGAGAACGAGAAAGAGAGAAAGAGAAAGGGAAAGGGAAAGGGAAAGGGAAAGGGAAAGGGAAAGGGAAAGGGAAAGGGAAAGGGAAAGGGAAAAGGAAAAGGAAAAGGAAAAAGAAAAAAGAAATTCAAACAAACAGGGTATGGTGGCTGTAATCCTAATACTTGGAAGGCTGAGGCAGGAGGATTGAGTTGAGTTTGAGGCCAGTCTGGGCTACATAGTAAGTTCTAGGCCAGTGTAGGCTACAGAGTGAGACTCTGTCTCAAAACAAAACAATAATAATAACAACAACAACAACAACAAAACACCCCAAAACAAACAAACTGAAATTTAAAAAGTTAAGTAACATGTTAGCATAAGTAATGTTTTAATGATAAATATGAACAATACTTACCTAAAACAATAAAATAGCAGTGTTTTAGATTTTGAAGAGAAAAAAGATATGTGTGTGTGTGTGTGTATTCACATAGATGTATATGTATGCATATCTATATGGCTGTCTTAGTTAGGATTTCTACTGCTTCAACAAGACACCATGAACAAAATAGGGAGGAAAAGGTTTATTCGGTTTATACTTCCACAGCACTGTTCATCTGTGAAGGAAGTCAGGACAGGAACTCAAGCAGGGCAGGAACCTGGAGATAGCTGTTGCAAAAGCCATGGAGGAGTGCTACTTACTGGCTCACTTCACATGGCGTGCTCAGCCTGTTTTCTTATAGAACCCAGGACCTCCAGGCCAGGAATGGCACCACCACTCACCACCATTGACCACTAATTGAGAAAATGACACACAGAGGCATTTCTTTAACTGAGGCTCTTTCTCTGTAATGACTGTAGCTTGTGTCAAGTTGACACACCAAACCAGCCAGTACAATGTCTGTCTGTCTGTCTGTCTGTCTGTCTGTCTGTCTCTGAGAAAGGACATTAAAGAGAGGAAGTGTACTCAACTTTCTACTACTTTGTATTCTGAGGATGACCACAGTTGAGAACTGTCAGAAGCATGCCATAAAGGCTTTTTCCCCTCTCTTTTTCCTCTTAAGCAATGCACATTTTGGTACACTATGTAACATTTGCAGTTTGCTTTGTTTTCATTTCTCTCTATGGCATGAATATGCTTTCCATTTTTTTCTTTCCTTTCTTCCCCCCCTTGTTTTTTCTTCTCTCTCTCTCTCTCTCTCTCTCTCTCTCTCTCTCTCTCTCTCTCTTTTAAATTTATGTATATGAGTACACTGTAGCTGTCTTCAGACACACCAGAAGGGACCATCGGATCCCATTGCAGATGGTTGTGAGCCACCATGTGGTTGGTTGCTGGGAGTTGAACTCAGGACCTTTGGAAGAGCAATCAGTGCTCTTAACCACTGAGCCAGCTCTCCAGCCCTTTCCTTTTGTTTTTGAGACAAGATTTCTCTCTGTAGCTCTGGCTGTCCTGAAACTCACTTTGTAGATCAAGTTGTCCTCGAACTCAGAGATCTGTCTGCCACTGTCCCCTGAGTGCCGGGATTAAAGGTGTGCACCACCACCATCTGGCTCATGCTTTTATTTAAATGTATTTTAGGATTTTTGTGAGTTAATTCTTTCAAAGCACTTAATAATTAGTTATTGTCTTTGGGAACTATTTCACTCCCTGTTTTTGCTTCTGAGATAGATCTCATGTATCCCATAGCCTAGGCTGGCCTCGGATTTGCTATGTGGTTGAGGATGAGCTTGAGCTTCAGACCTTCCCACCTTAAATAAGTAATAAATGCTTATCTCATAGGCATGTGCTGTCATAACTGCCTTACATTCTTCTTCCTTTAAGTTTTGCTACTATATTCCTTGAATAATTGCATGAGTTTTTTTTCTTTCTTCCTTCCTTCCTTCCTTCCTTCCTTCCTTCCTTCCTTCCTTCCTTCCTTTCTTTCTTTCTTTCTTTCTTTCTTTCTTTCTTTCTTTCTTTCTTTCTTTCTTGTTGTTGTTGTTGTTTTTCAAGACAGGGTTTCTCTGTGTAGTCCTGGCCGTCCGTCCTGGAACTCACTCTGTAGACCAGGCTGTCCTCGAACTCAGAAATCTGCTTGCCTCTGCCTCCCAAGTGCTGGGATTAAAGGCGTGCGCCACCACTGCCCGGCTGAGTTTTTTTTTTTTTTTTTTATATAGGATGAATTTGTAGAAGTGGGTGTCTTGTCAGAGGTTAATCATATTTTTTTCTTTAGCTTAATAATAGTGTACTATGAAATTTCCTTTGAAAACGTGACAGTTTGCTTTCTTCTGTGCATAAGTGCTCAGTTCTTTACGTCCTTGGCTATTTGGAGATTTGTTAGTCATTTGCATTTTATTACTTATTTATTTTTGTATTTTTGTTTTCTTGAGGCAGCGTTTCTCTGTGAAACTCTGGCTGTTCCAGAACTCACTTTATAGACCAGGCTGGCCTTGAACCCAGAGATCTGCCTGCCTCTGCCTCCTTAGTTCTGGAATTAAAGGCCAGAATTCATCTTAAATGAAACGGTAGCATGTTTGTGTGTGTGTGTGTGTGTGTGTGTGTGTGTACATGTGTATGGAGAGTTTAATCTATATTTGTATAATATACATGTAGTATATGTACACATTTAAAGAACTCTTTTTTTTCTCCCACATGCGTCTCTAGGATTGAGCTCAGTCATCAGCTGAGTCATCTCACAGGCCCTATATACATGTATATGCATGTTTTTATGTAGGTAGGAAATTGATAGATGAGAAAATAAAAGGTTCTAGCTAGAAGGTAGAAAATTAATAGAGAAAGAAAAGAAGAAGAATGACCCTTATTCCAGATCTAGTGTGCATTCCATCCTCAGTGTAGTAGAGAGAAAAATATCCTTGAAATTTGAGTTAGGCTAAAAGGTGTGCAACATGATATGGCCAAACCTGTCACCCTTAGTTGGTCATTCCTGAGTAGGTAGTGAGTGGGGAAAGGGGACTAATGAAAATTGTTCTCTAGAAAATCTGTGCCTGGGTAAGGAAGCTTAGGGTGGAGAGTATAGAGATGAGAGAGCTTCACTAGCCAGGGACAAGAGGGAAGTGCTTCTGAGGGAAACAGGACAGACAGCCGGAGAAGATGGAAAAGCGGAAGTCTGGGTGCAAATGAATGCTATCTCACTCCGAGAGTTTGAGGTTTCAAGTCTTTCTGATTGGAACTTCGTCGACAGGCCAGAAGCAGGCTAGGTCAACCAGGCGTGAGAATCAGAGCAGAGGAAAAGATGAGCACTTCATTCAGCAAAGAGAGCTTTATTCTCAAACAAAACAAAACAAAACAAAGAGAGAGAGAGAGAAAGAGAGAGAGAGAGAGAGAGAGAGAGAGAGAGAGAGAGAGAGAGAGAGAGCGAGCTTTATTGGCATTCAAAGAGACATTTGGTAGATGGTAGATGTGGGCTTGGAACAGTGGGAAGATGACGATACATACCAAGGGGCAGGGGGTGAGAAGACAGGAAGATGGGATCACGGAACAAAGTCGTGGGGATGATTGGGGTGGGGAGATGGCTCACTGTAGGAGCTGTTAAAGTCTGAGGACCCTGGTTTGGGTTCTGGACTTTTCACATACACGCTGGGTGGGTTTGGTGGCCTGCCTGTAATCCCAGGGTTTAGGAGGCCGAGATGAGATCCCTGAAACAAGCTAGCTGGCCCGACTAGCCAAATCTGTGAGCTCTGGTTCAAGTCAGAGACTCTGCCTCAATATATAAGGGGAATATTGGTCAGGGAGGCATACACTACACACACATACGGGCCTACAAACATTTGAACATTCACACAACATAGGCACATACACGTACACACTCAAGAGAGGTGGGCAGGGATCATGGGGAGAAGGAGAGAGAGCAAGAGAAACAGAAACTCATAGAAATGGATATCTTTGGGTAAAAGGCAGACTTAATTCGCAGGTGTTATTATTTGAAACAAAAGCCATTCAGCAGAATCTGGCTTTACAAAGTAGCTGAAGACAGCCTAGAAGGTCTGGTCCACTTGCCTCTATTGCTTGGATTACAGATATGCACTACCACACTTGGTTTTATGCCATGATGTGGATGGAGCCCCAGGGCTTCCTACATGGTAGGCAAGTACTCTTATCAATCAAGCTATACATGTAGCCCCCGCCCCCAATATGTTTATAATGACTGTTTGTGATTTTTTTTTTGTTTTGTTTTGTTTTTTTGTTTTTTCGAGACAGGGTTTCTCTGTGTAGCCCTGGCTGTCCTGGAACTCACTCTGTAGACCAGGCTAGCCTCGAACTCTTGAACTCAGAAATCCGCCTGCCTCTGCCTCCCAAGTGCTGGGATTAAAGGCGTGCGCCACCACCGCCCGGCTTGTTTGTGATTTTTGACCTTTGTTCTAGTTAGATTGTCCTTCGAATGTCCCCTGAAGTTCATTTTCACTATTTTCTTTCTTGCTGTGATTCTTTCTTATTCAAATCACACTCAGTTGAATCTTCTTTCCTTCATAAACCTTGTCTACCTAAGGGTTTGACCTCAGAAAGTAGGCCAGACCACTTTCTTATCCCCCATTTTCTATGACTCTGGTGTCTTGGTCAGTGCCTTATTCGGGACAGCTATGTCCCCCACAACCTCCTGGGATATGGTGAAGAATGAGTACTAAGACCAGGCTGACTTTAAACTCATTGATATCCACCTGCCTCTGCCTCCAGAGTGCTGGGAGTAAAGCCATGCACCACCATGCTCTGGCCCCACAGGAATTCTTAGTATTTCTATTACTCTATCCCACACCTCTAAGTTATTATAATAAATCCAGTTTGTTCCTTTATCATCCTAGGCAGTGGTTTTGAGACAGTTTCTCTCTACTTGCCCCTGGCTGTCCTAGATGTCACTAGTTACTATATAGACCAAGCTAGCCTTGAACTCAAAGAAATCCTCCTGCCTCTGCCCTCCCCCACCATGATTTTCTCAGCCTTGGTCCTCATCTTGCATTTCCTCATGTCCTGTCATGTCTTCTCAACTATTTTAAGTGGTTAGAGCTCACAGGGCTCAGGTTGGTATTCACTGGGCCATTTACACCCTTGCGTTTTCAGGATCTTCTCTGAAAATATCATAACTCCAATTGTTAATTTTAAAAGGTCATTTTTTCCTTCCTATTTCCTCCTGTGAAAATGAACTCTGGAACTCTTTTTAAAAAGCTGGGCAAGTGGAAATACTTGACCCGGTTTTTGATTTCTGTATGACTTGAGATTCAGCTATCAAAGTCAATTTATTCCTTAGTGTGGAGGTTTTCTAGGAAAGTCTCCAGTTGTGATGGCTTATTCTTGGTTGTCATCTTGACTACATCTGGAAAGAACTACAATCCAGGGCACACCAGTGAGAGATTTTATGCTTGGTTTGAAGTGGGCGATTCTGCTACTAGTTCAGACCTATGAGGTAGAAAGACACACCTTTGATCTGGTTCTTGAGGTGGGAAGACACAGGCCTTTAATCTAAATCTTTAAGTGGGAAGACACACCTTTGATCAGGTCACACCTTCTGCTGGAAGCCAATATAAGGATATAAAAGACGGAAGCTTTTGCTCTTTGCCTGCTTGCCCTTAATAGCACATCCATTCCTCAAGGTGTGAGCTATTTCACAAATTTACCTTATGGGCATATGCATTCCTTCGTTGGTATTGGAGCCTATTTCTATTGCATTCCAGCATATACAGAAAACCAGCTAAGACATCCAGCTTTGTGGGACTGAGCAACTACTAGATTCTTGGGCTTTTTATACACAGATAGCCATTGTTGATTAGCTGCACTGCAGCCTGTAAGTCATTCCAATAAATTCCATATATATAATAGATCACATATATATATATACATATATATATATATATATATATGTATATATATATATGTGTGTGTGTGTGTGTGTGTGTGTATGTGTATGTGTATGTGTATGTATGTGTATGTATGTATGTATGTATGTATGTATGTATTTATATAATATAAAATTTTAGGGGAAAAGCACCCAGCTTCAGGCACCCCAGGAGGCTAGGCTCAGCCACCCATCTCAACACTCCAACTGAAGAAAGCAAAAAGCAGGGACAAAGGACTCCATCAGGGCCTGGATCAGGCAGAGAAATAGCAGAGCGCTCCAGTAACCTGTAGAGGTGGGACAGTGAGCAAAAGGTACAAGACTGATCTGTCTGTCCGTAACGTCAGTTCTGGTCTGGTGATGTCATCACCATCCCTGCCGGAGAGGAGCAATCTGGTCCTCGTGATTGCTCCTACTCCAGGGTGCAGCTTCAGCATCACCTGCCTTCACCTGCCCTCCTAGACTGTATCGTACAGAGTGAGAGGCGGTTTAGAACAAAGATACTTATCTCTCTGACTCTAGCCTTGATCGATTTAGTTATCACATGTGTGGGCCCAAGTGAGGCATTAAGGTTGTAACAGGCTGTCTTGCTTTAACCACCGAGCAAGAGGCACAGAAGAAGGTGGTGGTCACAGTGTAACTAATGTATCTGACCTTGGCCCGAAGTATTACGACAACTAGGTAGAGTTATGTGCTGTTCACTATGAAAATATAACAGGCCAGTGTCATGGCTCAGCAGGTAGAAGCACTTGCTGCCAAGCTGGCATGGATCCTGTGAGATCCTCCTGCCTGGCACTACCATCTGGCTCCATCGTACTGATGAAAGCACTATCTACCCTTTTTGACTTTTAGTATGTATCTCGAGACTGACGAGCCAAGCATTGAAAGAAAGTAGGCTTGTGTCATGAAAGCTGTCATGTTGTATTTTAATTACATCTGCAGGTGTTCTCACTCCTCACTTGGAGATGGCGGCTCCCCAGTTCACCCTCCATGTCCTCTTGGTTGCCTTGCTCACTTGCCCTGTGACTACCTATCCCAATGGAAGAGTACCAATGGCCTGTAGTGGGATGATCCCCCAGCATAACCACAGCCCACAGTCTGAGCCTGTTCACCAGATCACAGTGAGTCAGACGACGTTCAAACCTGGAGACCGGATCAAAGGTACTAGTGCTGGAGATAACGAGCTGCACTTTTTTTCTTTTTAGGTTTTTTTTTATATTAAATTAAATTTTTTTTAACTTATTCACTGGACATTCTGCTGTCTGCTCCCTTCTCGGTCACCCCCTTCTACAATCCTTCTCAATTCTCCCCTCCCCTTCTCCTCTGAGTAGGTGGGGGCCTCCTGGGTATCCCCCCCTACCCTGGCACTTCAAGTCTCTTCGAGGCTAAGTGCTTCCTCTCCTACTGAGGCCAGACAAGGCAGCCCAGCTAGAAGAACAAATCCTGCACACAGGCAACAGCTTTGGGGATAGCTTCCATTCCTGTTGTTCAGGACCCACGTGAAGGTCAAGCTACATATGTGCAGGAGGCCTAGGTTGGCTTCTCTGTGTAGTTTTGGCTGTCCTGGAACTCATTGTAGACCAGGTTGACCTCAAACTCAGAGTGCTGGGACTAAAGGTGTGTGCCATCCCTGCTGGCATGATTTGCAATTTCAGCTAGATTCTCTCAGTACTTGCTGACTTTTTACTGTGACTGGAATTAGACCGCTTCATTTTAATCTATTCATTTGTGTTGTTTACCAAGGCATCATTTACTTGCATTTTTTGTTTACTACAGAAGTCTGTATTGTGTAAGCGGCATATCCTTTATTAAGAGCAAGGTCAAAAGTAAGATTTTAGAATACCAAGGTATATTATTTGTTAGTTTTATTGTATTAACATTGCATTTATTGTGTATTGTATCTTGAACCCTATTAACTCAGTGGAACAGAAAATAAATTTATTATATGTTGTTTTACCCCGCCCCCTCTTTAAAAAGTATTTAAAATCTCTTATGTTTCCCTGATTCTTCTGGCAAAATGTAGCCTGTCAAGGTTTATCTACAGCCAGGTGTGGTAGTATGTGCCTTAATCCCAGCACTCTGGAGGCGTAGGAAGGATCAGGGTTTGAGGCAGCTTGGACTATATGTATATTGAGACTCTGTCTCAGAAAAAGCAAAAGTCCATCTGTGAGAGCATTTTGAAATTTTTAGAAATGCATCATGTGAACAGGAATTCTTAACAAGAATAATGCCCGAATAAATAAACCTGGAATACCTTGTGTGATTTAGATGTCTCTTAGAATTTCACTCTGCAAAATAGAATATTAAAGATGGTCAGATTTGTAGTAGAGAAACAAGTTCTTACTTTCATCTAGAGTTCTCTAAATAAATTTTTCTGTATAGATTGTTACCTAGCCGTCACTCACGCTTTAACCCCTTGTGGAATGGCTTTTAATATCTCATGATGATACCTGATGCCACAGGTCACGAAGTAGCCTGAGACAAGATGATCGTAAGTTCAAGACTAGCCTGTGCTACAGAATAAGTTCAAGGCTAGCCTGGGTAGTTTATTGAAACCCTGTTTCAAAATACAGCAAAGTACAAGAGGATTGAAGATGTAGTTCCATGGTGGAGTCATTGACTAACATGCACAAACCCTAGGCTCAGTTCCTAGTGCTGTAGAATAAGCAACCAGCCAACCACAGAGAAACAAACAAAACAACCCTCCTCCCAAACATGGCACATACTCTATGGAACATAATTCAGACGTTCTTCTGTAGGATGCCTTTTAACCTATGTGGTTTATTAATTAGTTAATTAATTAATTAAATTATTTATTTATTATATATAATGTTCTGCTCGCATGTATGCCTGCATGCCAGAAGAGGGCACCAGATCTCATTACATGATGGTTGTGAGCCACCATGTGGTTGCTGGGAATTGAACTCAGGACCTCTGGAAGAGCAGTCAGTTCTCTTAACCACTGAGCCATCTCTCTAGCTCCACCCATGTGGTTTTGTAGAGATAGTTTCTAACTAACTGAACTTCTGCTAAATGCTTTCATGGACTGTTTCTAAATCTTTTATCCTAACCTCTCTTTTTTATCTGTTGCTCAGTTACTTTATCAGGACCACCATTTAGAGGCTTTCTTTTAGAAGCTCGGGATGCTGAGGATTTGAGTGGCTCTCCTATTGGCTCCTTCACTCTGATTGACAGCGAAGAGTCACAGCTTCTTACCTGTGATGATGTACAGGTTTGTGTGGTGTTTGAAGTTGATTTCTGTTGGTTCTTCTGGGCTGTTTTTACTCTAGAGTGGTCCTAACAAGAACAGCAAGCATTTGAACAGATTACAGTCATCAGACCTTACCACTGGTTCACATAGAAGTGTCTGGAAAAATAGGCTAATAGCTTGAAAAGTTTGTGCTTGGGGATGTTTACATTATGTTGGCAAATACTGGCTTAAAATTTAAGACAGTTACTTGAGATGTGTTGGTGTGCACCTTACTCCCAGCTCTTGGAAGGCGGAGATAGGAGGATTTCTGAGTTTGAGGCCAACCTGTTCTACAGAGCTAGCTCCAGGCCAGCCAGGGATTCACAGGGAACCTGTCTCAAACAAACAAATAAATGAACAATTTAAGACAATTTTTAGTGTGCTAGTGTGTATATGTGCTAGCGCGCGCGCGCGTGTGTGTGTATGTTTGTATGTATATATGTATGTATAGCAGGATGAGGAAGAAGAGGATGGGGAGGAGGAGCAGAAGGCATGCCATCACATGTGTGTGGAGATCAGAAGATAACTTTGTGGAGTCAATTTTCTCTTTCTACCCTTATGTTTGTTCTGACTGTGCTGAGCTGAGTGACAGGCTGGGTTTTTCTTTTTTATTTCAGGGATTAGCTGTAAGTCATACAAGTTCCTCCAAGAAGACAGAAATTAAAGTCTACTGGAATGCTCCACGCAGTTCCCCATATCACATACGATTTCTGTGAGTACAAGAGCTCACGTCTGTGTGACCACCACCATTGAGATTGAAGCTGTAGTGAAGTGTGTTTCTTCGCCACTGAATAGTCACCTGTGTAGGAGAGCTTTCGTAGTTACGATTTACTGCCTGAAGAGTTGTCTTGCTTCTTTGTTCTTATTTGAGATAGCATCTTGCTATGCAGCATTGGCTGGCCAGGAACTCCCTATGTAGATGAAGCTGGCTTTGAACTTGTAGCAATCCTCCTGCCTCTGACTCCCATATGGACCTGGCTTTTCCCCCCTTTCCTTCAACATCAAACTTCTAGCACATAGCCCAGGACTTCATGCTGTACCTTTTTTTTTTTTTTAAGGCTTCTTCCTGCTTTACATTCCCAAGTGCTTAGATAATAGGTACACACCACCAAGCCTGACAGAACTTGATACTTAAGGGGCATGATCTAGACATTGTTGAGTGAGTGAAGTTTTACACTACTTTACAACTCGTAAGAGCCATCAATTAGTACTTGAGTGTGTGCTGTGCAGCGTAATGCGACCCGTCTTAGTATGAGAGTATGAACAAGACAAGCCTGAGAGTGACTTCTTTGGCAGCACTATGACTTGTAGATAGCTTATCAGAAAGTGAACCGCTGCATGTCTCTTGGAATTGTGAAACCAGAATTATAATATCACCCTTTCCCTATTCATCTGCGTAAGGCAGAATGGAGTCTCTTAAAGCCATGTGATAATTCCTGGGTGGTATTCTGGACATAGGTGTATCTTACAGGAGAGAATCTTCTCTGGACATGTTTCTGTTTTCTGCTTAACCTTGTCCACAGGCCCCCAGCACTCTGGCGCTCAGCTTAGCACAAGGTGCTCAGGTGAACGGCAGTGAGCACATGCTCAGTCAGCCGCTATGGAGCTTTGGTGGCAGCTACCTCTTAAACTCCTGTGGAGGAGTATGACTAGTCCTTCACTGTGAAATGACTAGGAGTGTGCTCTTATGTCAGGGAGCAGAAACTTACATAGTGTAGTTGTGCAATCCAGCATTCATGACTGCAGTTAATAAAAAGAACAGACAACAAACAAAAGAGAGAGGGAGAGAGGGTCGTAAAGTTCATGTAGTGATGGGTGAGGACAGTCATTAGAGACTTGCCCCATGCATGAGTATTCTTCATCCACCTCTCCCCAAAACATTTTCTGCTTGAAGTTTTGTTGGCTTGTGATGGGTCTCTGTGGGTTTTTGCCTAATCCCATTGGTTCTCTCTTTCAGAGCCACAGTTGTTGAGAAATATAAAATCTACTGGGTGAAGATTCCAAGTCCCGTAATTTCCCAACCAAATGCTCCTCCCTTTACAACACCTACAGCTACAACAGAACCTTTGACAACAACACTTCCTGTCTCACACTTAACCAAACCAGTAAGTGACGTTTTTTGTGTCTTCACCAAATGCGGTCTTGAGTAGCTTTCCTGGCAACTGGTTCTGAGGTCTGCTTTAGCTTTAGTGGGCCGTGGGATAGAGTTTTTGGGTTCTCTATAGAAATCTGAAGGAAGTCTTCATTGCAACATTATAATTTATAGGTTTGAAAAAAGAGTATAAAAATGATTCTACATTCAGAGTATAGTTGCAACATTTACAGGTAGTTTTGCTGTCAGGGAGTGTATGGTCACTTGAAAATGAAGTTGAAAAAGCTTCTCCTCCCTCCTTTTCTGTCTCTTTTCTTCCTCATACCTTCTTTCTTCCTGATTATTAAATATAGAGAGGAAGTTTCTTTGTAATAGTCATGGCTGTCCTGGAACTCACTTTGTAGATCAGTCTGGCCTCAAATGCAGAGATCTGCCTGCCTTTGAGTGCTGGGATTAAAGGCATGAGCCACCTTTGCCCAGAGGAGAGTCTTGAAGTGGTAGTATAATATAGATTTTATTTTATTAAGATTAGAGTGTTGGGGGGGGCTGGAGAGATGGCTCAGTGGTTAAGAGCACTGACTGCCCTTCCAGAGGTCCTGAGTTCAAATACCAGCAACCACATGGTGGCTCACAACCATCTGCAATGGAATACAACACCCTCTTCTGGTGTGTCTGAAGACAGCTACAGTGTACTCATATACATAAAAAATAAATATATCTTAAAAAAAAGATTAGAGTGTTGGTAGGAGGGTGCTGGAGAGATGGATGGCTCATTGGTAAGAGCACTGGCTGCTCTTCCAGAGGTCCTGAGTTCAATTCCCAGCAACCACATGGTGGCTCACAACCATCTGTAATGGGATCTGATGCTCTCTTCTGGTGTGTCTGAAGAGAGAAATGGTGTACTCATATACATAAAATAAATAAAACTTAAAAAAAAAAGATTAGAGTGTTGAACTGGAGAGATGGCTCAGCAGTTAAGGGCACTGGCTGCTCTTCTGGACATCTTGAGTTCAATTCCCGGCAACCCCATGATGGCTCCCAGCCATCTGTAATGGGTCTAATGCTCTCTTCTGTCTGATGCCCTCTTCTGTCATGCAGGCATACATACAAATAGAGCACTTGCATACATAAAATACATTTATATATAAAAAGTCTAAAAAAAAAAAAGAAAGATTAGAGTGTTGGGGAACTAAGGTATAGCAGCACTTGCCCATAATCCCTGCAGTTAGGAAGCAGAGGCACGAGGATCCTTGCAAATTTGATGCCGGGCTGGTTTCCAATGATAAGTTCTAGGCCAGCCTGGGCTATATTATAAAACTATTTCAACTCTGTTCCCTTTAGCAAACAAGCAAACAAACAATGTAGGAAGTTTGACCCTTTAAAATAGTCCCTGAGGTTGTGATGACTCCCAAAAGTAAAATTAGTTTCACTGCTATTTCATAACTGTAACTTTGCTATTGTTATGAGTTGTAGCACAAATGTCTGTGTTTTCTGATGGTCTTTGGTGACCCTTGTGAAAAGGTCATTCCACCTTCCAAAGGGGTCGTGACCCACAGGTTGAGAAGCACTCCTCTGGGTCCCTTTCTCTTTGCTTGTTGTCTGTATATATCTCTTCTTCCACTAACTATCTCTTCTGCCTCTCTCTGCTAGAGAGGTGGCTCGGCAGTCAAGAGCACTTGTTGCTCTTCTAGAGGACCTGAGTTTAGTTCCCAGTCCCACATCAAGCAGCTCAGAACTGCAGATAACTTCAGCTGCAGAGAATTGATGCCTTCTTCTGGCTTCCCCAGACGCCCAGCAAACACTCACAGACACAGATAATACAAACAGAACTAAACAGGACTAAATAAACCATTTACCCTACACAATAGTAGTCTTACTTGGATTCCTTCCCTTCTGCAGTTTTAAACACCGGATGTTGAATTTAATTGCGTTATAATGCATGTTGCACTTTTGTTTGACTGTGCAGTTATTTAAGAGCTGATTATCTGTGTTAGTTCTCACTTCACTTAATACTCATTTAAAAGCTGCTTTAAGTGAATACACTGTTTGTACACCAGCTTCCTAACAGAAGAAAATATTGTCCTTTCATGTGGTCAGTTAAAGAGGCCCGTTCTTGTAATTTTTACCACCATGCCTCTGTGCCAATTTTTTATAGGGAGCTTCATTCAGAGTTGTGGTATTTGTAGGGTTAGAAGAGACCTCGGAGTTTCTTTTGGGTTGTCCGACGTAAAGAGATCCTTAGAGAACAGGTTCTTTGACAGGTGGAATAGACCAAGGAGGAGCTCAGAGACCAACACCCCATTTCCAAGGTCTTCATGGCTTCTGTTTTCTCCCTACTGTGGTTAGTGATGTCCTCATTAAGTCTGGTTATGGATTCTTCAGCCCTCTCTTCTTCTCATACACGATCCTGACAAGCTTTGCTTGTATTTTTTCTGCCAAATTGTAGAGCTTATTTTTTTTTTTCTGAGGGTGGGGTTGGGCCCAGGGGGCTCCTCAAATGCCATACTGGGGAGGCTCAGGTTTCAATCAGTGTAGAATATTGGTTGTGCCTCTTGACACATTAGAGTTATTCTTACTGTTGATTAAAATGGTGGTATACACAAGTGTCCCATCTTTTTCTGTATCACTTAACTCTGAATGTGAATGTGACTTTTAAAAGTTGTTGCCGAGATCTACACATAAAGACTTGCTCATATTTGGTTTGCCTGCTTTTAAAAATACCATCTCTTGAAAATTAGAGAGCATCCAGTTAGGCAAGATTGCCAATGTGGACTAAGAAATTTCTCAATTTGTGGGAAACCTTGGATGTTGGATGGTATGAAGCATTTTGTGTTTTAGATAAACATAAGCACTCATGTGCCACTGCAGGCCTACCAGTATAGTTTTCTGAATTATAATCAACAATAATTAAGTTTAAAAGTCCACAGTTGAAGAATGCTCCTATCACTTCTAATTTGTGATGCGTCTTCAGTTCCCTGTTTTAAATGTTTATGCAAAGCTTTCCTTGTCTGTCCAGTCCTTGGCAGTAAACTGCTTGTTTCATCATTAAGATCTTCATCCCTTTTATTTTTCTAGTTCAGTGCCTCCGAGTGTGGGAACAAGAAGTTCTGTGTCAGGAGTCCTTTGAACTGTAACCCAGAGAATGAGCCTGCATGTGTCTTCCTGTCCTTCACCAGAGATAACCAGTCGGTGATGGTTGAAATGAGTGGACCCAGTGATGGCTACGTGTCGTTTGCATTTTCTCATGATCAGTGGATGGTTTGTATCTATTGTTTATGTCTGGGATGATAGCCATCAGAGTGAGCTCTCATCAGCAGTAGATTAAGTGTGCCTTCCAGAGTTCAGGGATGAGACCTAAGGGTAGAATGGGAAATAAAACTCGAAGAACAGATCCATTTCAATGGCTGTCTTGTGATTTTGATAGTTGGGCAGTTATTTCTAAGAGCAGGTTGCCCTAAGGTCATGTGTAGTAGATTTGCCACTTTATGTCCCTGTCTCCTTTTGAAATAGCAGGAATCGTAGGTAAAAGAAACAACTGCATAAAGTGTCATGTTTGCAATGCTCTTTAGGCCAGTCAAGCACCAGAACTAAAGCCTGTGCCCCTGCTGGTGGTGCCCCTGACTTATGTTTCCTGCTGGCCAAGTGCAGTGGATGTCCGGGCAATGTTTCTGACTGCTCCTTTGTCTGATGTAAAGAAGGCCTCATGTGTCTCCTGATTCTTGCTCTTCCTGGGCAGGGGGGCACTGGATGAGTTTAGAGACTGTTGGTGGCAGCCTTGTGCTGTCTGGGGAAAAGCAGAATGCTGCAGAAGTATCCAGTTTCCCTAGGGAGAGGAAAGAGGACCCTCCTGCAAATGTAAAGCCTCTTCATGAAGGATTGGCGGTGAGCAGAGCGGATGGCCCTCTGTAACTTCCATATAAGAAAGACAAAGTCTTTAGAGACTTTTCTACATGTTAGGGTTTAAACTTGACACCCACTTTTTTTTTTTTTTTAAAAAAAAGGGAACCATAGCTCAAAGCAACAAAACAAAATAAGACAAAACAGAACTCTGACATTGCTATAAAAGAAGAACCAAGATTTATTCCAAAACACACTCCATGTAAGATGGTGGTACAGGCCTTTAATCCCAGCATTCAGGAGACTAAGAGAATAGGGATTTCAAGGTTATGGCAAATTTGAGGCCATCAGGTGGTCTCAAAAACAAAACAAAACAAAACAAACAACAGCAACAAACCAAAAGAGAACAATAGTAGCAAAGCAACAAGTTACCTCACAATTGTTTAAAAGTAAGACAATTTCAACCTTTTCTCTTCAGAGTTACTTTTATGGGAAGCTTTCTACATTTTTATGGAACATAATGCTGTAATTGTGCAAAATATTTCCCTGCTTTCTCCCTGTAATTACCATCAGAGCTGTGGCTTATTCTTTTGGGTGTTCTCAGCACTAGCAAAATGAATCAAATTTGGTCCTGAGAAGAATAATGAGGCTGAGCTAAGACTCAATTGCAACTCTAAAGCAATAACCAGAAGGCAGTGATCATGCTTGTTATGCTCTTGGGATGGAATTGGCTATGAAGCAAAGTCTGGAGATGAGCGCAGATAGGATTAAAAGCCTTGTTGGATAGACACATAATCTCCTTAAGGTGCATCTCTGAGGAGTGGCCTTCATTTGTCAGTCATGTATTATTATATATGACATATTATATCATATTTGTCATCCAAATATAAAAACAACTTATTTCTATAAGTGTAGCTCAAATTCATGCTCTAATATAATAGTGCATTTCCTCCTACTGGCCGAGGTCGAGGGGAGAGGGGACGATTTTTGTTGTATTGATTGTGATGGTGGATGGCCCACAGGTATGTTAGTTCTTGTACATTGTAGGCAGGATGGCACAAAAGCACTTATCTCTGATTTGAGATATGTTTAATCTCACTTAGAAATCTTACCTATTTCTCATATAGTGCTCATCAAAAAGTGTTTATAAAAAGATTTAATTATGCAGGTGCAGTTGGTTTACAGAGAGCCTGCTTAATGATTAAAATCAGCTGTACACCTGGTTGCCTAACTAGATGGGAATGGATCATCTTCAGAATATATTTCTAAAGTAGTTATTTCTATTTAAGGTTGTTATTTTTAAAACTTTAGTGTATTTTCTTCTTTTTTTGAGGCAAGGTCTTACTCTGTAGCACTGGCTAACCTGGAACTCTATAAATCAGGCTGACTTCAAATCCCCATAGATCTGCCTGCTTCTGCCTCTTGAGAGCTGGGATTAAAGGCGTGGATACCACATTTTGGGTCCTGATATTTTTGACTATATAATATAAATTTAGATACTAAAGGTGTTAGATATTCTAAATACTGATTGGATAGCCTAAATTCTACCTTAAAAACTGGCTTGTAAATTGACAGCAATTGTTTTTATCACTAAAATGGATGAAAAGTATAATTTTCTGAATTTGGTAACAGTGGCTTGCTTATTTTTGCCTTTTGGTATTTCCTGTCTGTGATTTTTATTATATGATATAAAGTCTACCTGGGAAACACATTACTAGTTTCTATCCCCCTTTTCCTCTTCAGTAAAAACAGTCAGTTTCTCCAACTATACACCTAACACAGGTTTCTTCTGTAATCCTCCAAAGTGTGGGGATATCTGCTCACACACCAAGCAAACAGTTGATTTTGCAGGAGGCATTCAACCTGGAGAGAGTGTCAAATCCCCTGGGTTAAGGGCTCAGTTCCCAGGACTGCTCAGCTTCCGACTTCAGATGCTAACCACAACTCCAGCTTCTTTTACCTGTGGTTTTCACTCTAGGGATAACAAACTAGGGTTTCCAACGCCTCCTCCTGGGGCTGGGCTATTCAACAAATTCAGGGAAACATGTTCTTCTGTCTGTTATAAATGATATTCCAAAGACTACCAAAAGGTGCACACAGCAAGGTGAGGGAGGGGTCAGGAGCTTCTGTGTTCACCTGGGGACACCATATTTCAAACCCAATTCCGATGGAAGAGCAGCCAGATCTTAACCACTCTGACAATCTCTCTAGCCCTTTTAGGAATCCTGGGTTCAGCTATCTGCATCTTTTCCAAACCCTGTCCTTTAGGGGTTTTGTAGGTACCTCATCACACAGGGTTCATTGATTGAATCTTTGACTATTGATGACCAACTTAATCTTCAGCAGTTTCTACAGTCTTAGTATACTGGAGTGAGATTAGGGTCTTAACCCTTTAATCCTGTGGGTATCAGGGGCTGGCACTCACTACTCAACTCATTAACACACTACTAAAACAGACAACAGAAACAAAAACCTTCAGAGAGTTCAGAGATCTTTAGGAGTTCAGTACTAGGAGATGGGGATGAAGACAGGCTGTATTCTCTTTCCTGCACTGTCACCATCTCTGACATGGCTTGTACGTCTACCACGTCTTGTATTGCCCCAGAAGCCCTCCCTAGTCTTCCTGTCTCCATAATATCCCTTCTGCATTTCCTATACAGTGTGATCCCATGCTTCAAACATGGATTCCTGTGAAGTGTCGTCTCTTACTCTTCATTTAGGAGAGTAAAGACTGAATTATCTGCCCCCTTTTTCTCCTGTGTTACCTTCTCTGAACAGGATGCCTCTCTTTTATAGTTAGTACCGAAGCTCCAATCAGTTTGCCTTTAAGCCAAACATTTGGATTGTTTTATTACTATTATCATTATTATTATTTTGTTTTGGTATATGCACATATTTGAGAGTACATTTGAAGACCTGAGGTTGAAGTTAGATGTCATCTTCAATTGCTATCTACCTTATGATACACACACACACACACACACACACACACACACACACGCATGCACACATATGTATATATATATATTTGAGGCATGGTTTCACTGCATAGCCCTGACTGTCCTGGAGCTTAGTTTGTAGACCAGGCTGGCCTCCAATGCAGAGATCTGTTTGCTCCTTGAGTACTGGAATTAAAGTCGTGAGCCACCGCTGTTCAACTTATGTTTTGAGACAAGGTCTCTCACTAAATCCGATGTTCTCATTGGTTCACCTAGGCTGGAATCCTCCTGTCTTATCCTCCCCAGCACTAGGATTACAGATGTACACTGCCATATCTGGTTTTTCCTGTGGGTACTGTTTTTTTTTTCTTCTTTTTTTTCAGCATGTGGACAAATTCAGGTGGTCAGGTGTCAGGCTTCTTTACCTGGTGATCCATTTCACTGCCTCTATCCCATCTCTTAGAAAATTTTATTTTTACAATTACATCATTTCCATTTCTCCCTTTGTTTCCTTCAAACCTTCCCATGTGTCCTTCCCCCTCCCCTGTTCTCTTTCACATTCATGGCCTCTTTTTCTTTATTTGTGGTTACCAGTCCCAGCTGATAAATCTCCCACACAAGCCCTGCACCTAAGGGATCATTGAAGTGGGGATGGAAAGATTGTAAGAGCCAGAAGAACAGGGAGTTTGCCGTGAGATCGTGTCTCTGAGAAATGTTAGAAGCTGCACCCACAGTCTCACCAGCATAGCTGCCTAAACCTAACCTAACAAGGATGACACCAACGAACATACTAAGAGGGAGGGGCAAAGCTCACTAGGCCTCGGTCCTGAGAGTAGAGCAGATCAATTGGTTATCCAATATCAGATGGTCAGCCTTGAGAACATACTATATACAAGTAACATACTGAACAGGCTTTATGTATGTACACACATACATACAGATATACAAATGTACACACACTTATGTAAAAATAATAAAGAATGCAAAATAAATTAGTAACTAAAGGGCCTGGTTGGCCTAATGAGCTATGGACAGTGATTTCAGATTGACATCATTTATTTGTGCCGTTGCTTCAATGTACTTTGAAGTTGCAGCTGTCTTCATAGAAAATCTAAGGAGTAATAACTTGCATGTAATTTAAACAGTATAAAGGCAAAAAAGGAGGAGGAGGGATGGGAAAGGGGACTAATGGGGGGAATGGGGAAAGGGGATGACATCTGAAATGTAAATAAATAGAATATGGAATAAAAAAAATGAAAAAAAAGAGTAATGACTGAAATACACTTGTCCTACATATATTATACTGAGTGTGAATATACAGTATTGTAATATGTATATTTTGCTAAGCTATCAAATATTGCTGCTGCATATTGTACATATTGATCAGATTTCATGTGTCAGAATTGAGATAAAAAACAGCAGATTATTTATTTATGAATCAGTCTCTCATATGGTGCTCATAGTTAAGTGAAAAAGAAAAAAAGGTAACAAAATATATTTTCCTGTCTGTAAAGGAAGGAATAGACACAAGAGCAAATGTCTGACTGTGTATGCATGGGCATGCTAATGGTGGCGTCCATGTGTGGGTGTAGGAATGTGGAAGCTTGCTGTGTCTTTTTAGAAAAAGGAAGCTAGTGCCTTTTCCATGCCAGGCAAGGGCTCTACAGTTGAACTGAACACCACCTCCAGCATGTCCATTTTGATCTCTTATTTTAGGTAGAATTTTTATTCTTAACTAATTAATTACCTTTTGAGACAGGGTCTCATATGTAGCCCTGACAGGCCTGGAACTGTTATGTAGTGTAGGCTTACATAGATCTCAGAGCTCTGCTTCCCTAGTGCAGGGATTGGAGGCATGCACCCTCAGTCCCTGCTGCTTATTTATTTTTGGGATAGGGTCTTCTGATGTAGCTGTGTCGCAAGCTTCAAGCTCGCAGAGTCCTTGAGCTCTGCTTGCCTCTGTCTCCTGGATGCTGGGGTTAAAGGTCTGGACCACCACCACTAGCTAAGATGTTAGCTAACATAAGCAAATGGTTCTGTAGACTTCACAGATCATTTACTGGTGAGCCAATTATGTTTTAAAGTATCAAATGCTATTTGGTTAGGGACTCCTTAAAATAATACTCTTGTTTTTCAGGGTGATGATGATGCTTACTTGTGCATCCATGAGGACCAGACAGTGTATATACAGCCTTCCCACTTGACAGGGAGAAGTTATCCTGTGATGGACTCCAGGGTAAGTGGGAGCATCCTGAGAACCTACCTGGTTGGTCCACCTTCCTGTTCTGTGGCTGCCACTCATGTGCTTGGGTGTGGGAGCCTGCAGCACTGCAGTTAGCCCAGCCCAGGCAAAGGCCCGGAAGCAGTGGTCTTCAGAATGATGGCCAGGAAACATTCTGGACTTAGAAAGTACAAGACAAAGCTGTCTGCTAGAAAACAATCCATTCTTGCTTACATCACTTAAATGCCTTTTGTTACATCTTACGGAAAAAAAATATTTTATGGCTTATTGACATGATCAGAGCATTTGTCCCTTTCCAAAAATGTATAGGACTTTGGGCAGGTGTGCCCTTTCTTGACATCATCTGTGCCAGTGTGAAGCATTTTTTTATAGCATAATTAATTGGCAAGGAAATGAGCTATGAAGGAACCATGGCTCTTCCTTAATGTCACAGTGAATGAAGTTTGACAGAACAGTGGCGTCAGATCCCTTTATGATGCCACCATGTGCCTAGCTTTCCTGGGGTTCCTCCCCAGATGTGCATTGCACACTGTCCTCCAGTGTGTTGCTTGCTGCTTTTTCCTTCAGCATTTCTGTGCTGTAATGGTGGCTAGTCAGGTTAGCATATCAGCTAGATTTTCTAACCTGGGAAGAGGAAATTTTATGAAATTCTGTGAAATTCTGGCTCAGAGTGAAAAAAATACTTGCCAAGTGGCATAAAGATAAACTGGAATATTACTACTACTACTAAATCTTGGTATTCTTTGAAGGAGAAAACCAAGGAAGAGCCCTGAATTTGAACATGCTCCTCCAACATTAGAGAAAGCAAATGGAACAGGTCAGGGCTTTGAGCATGTCTGATTTTGAGCACATCTTTGAAAAGGGTTGTGAAGCCCCTTTGTGTGTTTGTTTGTAGGGAACTCTCGAGGATATGGCCTGGAGGCTGGCAGACGGAGTCATACAATGCTCATTCAGAAGAAACATCACCCTTCCTGAGGTTAAGAACAGATTTGTGCTGAATGAAAGCTACTACATATTCTTTGCGGAAGGCGCAGCTCACGATGGTGAGCACTTGGGTTAAATCTACCTTTGTACATTACTGTGTTCCCCCTTCCTTTCCTTTCGCCTTTGCAGGTATCTCCACAGTTGCTCATTTTAAGGGATGGAAGGGGTTCTCTTTGATTTCATGTTACGTCTCTGCCTTTGTTTCTCTGAACGCTACACAGAATGTCAGCCAGTCACAAAGCATTGTTTGTCATTTCAATGGCCCCTACTTTGTACAATGAATTTGGACCAGAATCATAAGTGCCTTGTAAGAAGCATGTATGTCTGTGGGCTTTGCTGAGTTCCTAGGAACGGTGCCTTTGGATCGTTGTAAGAAATACCAGCTCGAGGGGTACAATCCATCCAATCTGGATCTGGGCTCCATAGACTTGAGCTTCTGCAGGAGGCAGGGAGGAGGTGGAGTTACAGCCCTGGCAGCAGATTCACACTCGAAGGGGGTTGTGCCTGGTTGCTCCTCAGCTGTGTCATTTCCTATCTTGCATCTTCTTAAGTAAAGTGGAAACCATGTGATTCTAGTACACTATAGGAATCTGAATGAGTAGTCTTAGTTTTTTCTTTTGTTATGTTTTGAGACAGAGACTCACTATATAGCCCTGACTGTCCTGCAACTCTCTCTAGTCCAGGTTGGCCTTGAACTAATAGAGATTCTTCCCATCTCTGCCTATCCAGAGCTAGGATTAAAGGCATGCGCCACCATGTTTATTTAGCCTCATTTTCATTTTCTTAGACTGTATCTTCCGTATTAACACCTTTGCCACCTTGTTTATTATTAACATTCATTATGACACTTCTTTTATCTGTGGTCAGAATGTCCAAGCACTTAATTGATCCTAATGACATTTCCATCCTGATTTCTAGGTTACTGATTAAGTTTGCTTCTCTATTGCTCCAGGCAAAAGCACCCTGGGGAGGGTAAGGGTGAAAGGTTGGGTTTAACTAGTTACTGTGCATCATCCAGAGGATCCAAGGGCAGAGCGTGAGGGATAAACTGAAGCAAAGACCTTGGAGGAACACTCCTTACTGGCTTGCTTCCTCTGCCTTGATCTCAGCTGCTTAAATATCCCAGGACTACTTGCCTAGAGGTGGCACCGCCCACAGTGGGCTGGGCCCTACCTCATCAATCATTAATCAAGAAAAAGACCCATAGACATGTTCAAAGGCCAATCATATGGTGGCAATTCCTCAGCTGAGGTTCCTTCTTTACAGGTGACTTCAGTTTGTGTTAAGTTGCTAAAGAACTAACTAGCACAGTTATATTTTGTTGTCTTAACTAAACCACAAATGATCACTTCTTTACTTTGATTGCTTGCATCTGGATGTTTTAAACTGTCTTCATCGGTAACGATCTCCAAGAATACTTGTGCTTTTAGTTTCTGTTTCCTATTTAAACCAACAGCTTAAAAAAATAGGGTTGTATCTGTCTTGGCTAGTTTCCCTCTTTTTATTTTTTTCACTTTGTTATACAGATGGTATAACCTGTATCCTTCATAGATTTTTAAAAGTTATATTAGACTATATTAGACATATAGTTTATTCGGTTATCATTATTATTGTGTGTGTGTGCAGTTGTACACAGTCTGTGGTGCTCTTGTGGAGGTCAGAGGACAATAACCTTGCTGAGTCAGTTCTCTCCTCCAGCGTATCAGGTTTGCACTGCGAGCACCTTTACCTGCTGAGACCTCTCCCAAGGCCCATCCTGTTGACATTACTGTGATATAGTCTGTTGCCTGATAGCTATCATCTGTTTACAACAAAAGTTTATATATCTATTTTAAAGTTTCTTAACTATTTTTGTACTTGCATAGTTTTATAAAACCATGTTTGTATGTCATGTAATTTATTCTATTCTAGCGATGGGTATTTATTTATTTTTTATTTTAAGCAATATAGAAATGTAGCTATAAATATTCTTCTGCATATATTTTTGGTTCAAAATCCTTATGCAGAGAAAGAGGCAGAAAGCTTGTAAGATCCAGAGGAGGTGGATGATGCTAAGGAAACAGTGTCTTTTAGACACAACAGTACTGACGCAGACAGGAACTCACAGAGACGATGACAGCATGCGCAGGGCCTGCACAGGTTCAAGCCAGACAAAAATCTCAGCAAGGAGAAGAGGCGGTGGACATGGAGCCCTGTTTCTAACCAAGAAGCTGTTTGCAGTTGATCCTGCTGGGAAAGGGGAAATAGGGCTTCTCCAATGCAGTGGCCCTCGGTATATTAACCAGATGCCAGGGTTTAGAAGTTATTCTGTCTGTAGAGTGAACGCATACACACATTTATGCAGACACTTGGAATAATCCTGTATTTTCCCGACTTAGTTTTATGTACAACAAATGGTAATAAAACACAAAAATAAGGCCAGATATGGTGGCAGATGCCTTTAACCCCAGCACTAAAGAGGTAGAGGCAGGTGGATTTCTATGAGTTCAAGGCCAGCCTGATCTACATAGTGGGCTACATAGTGAGACTCTATCTCAAACGAATAAACAGCCAACCAACCAAACAACAAACACAACAACAACAACAAAAAGAAAAAAAAGAGAGGAAAAAAAGGATAATATTTTCTCATTTTCTTTTTGCTTTTCCTTTCTTCTTTTTGGTTATGGCTTTTGAAGATACTGTAGCCTTGGCTCTTCTAGAATACATTCTGTAGACCAGGCTGGCCTTGAACTGAGATATCTGTGTGCCAAGTGCTGCCTATTAGACTTTTTTTTTTTTTGAGTGGGCTTTGCATTCGTAGGTGCCTGTGAACCATATCTGTGTTGGTATCCTGAGAAGTTTAGAAAAGGGTGTCAGATACCAGATCCTCTCTTAACCACCGAGCCAACCATCCAGACCTTTCTTTATGTCACTGTTATTTGACATTTTGATTTGTCACTCAAACCCAGCCTTAACTGACCGTCTGCCAAATCCTATATCCTCAACATACCTTTTGTAGTTGTCTTCCCGGCCCAGGATGCGCTAGCATATCCTAGGAGTTTAGAATACAGGCTGGAGAGATGGGTCAGTGGTTAAGAGCACTGACTGCTCTTCCAGAGGACCTGAGTTCAATTCCCAGCAACCACATGGTGGCTCACAACCATCTCTAATATGTGATCTGATGCCCTCTACTGGTGTGTCTGAAGACAGTGACTCATATATATAAAGTAAATGAATCTTTAAAAAAAAATTTAGAATGCAGGCATGGTGAGAAAGGCTTGTAGCTTTAAAATACACCTGCCAGTGTCTGAGAATTACACAGTGACTTATCATCGGATATTGTTTCGATACCATTTAACCCCTAATAGAGCACACTGTTTCTTGGCACTATACTTTTCCATCCCCAGCCCTTGTTTTGATTCATCTCCCTGTCGGCTAAATTATTTCTTTAATTTTCAGGAAGGCCATGTGTTCTCATGTATGTTGCTACATGACGTTTACACGTGAATGCCAACTATTCCTATTTGGTTATTTGCATTACTGTGACACGTTTTCTTTCTGTGTCTACTTCTCAGGTCGAATTTTCAGGCACTCTCAGCAACCTTTGATAACATATGAAAAATATGACGTGACAGGCCCTCCAAAGAACGTAGGGGGATCCCGCTCTTCACCCCTTTTAAAGGCTCACGGTAAGTTAACGGAACATCGTTATTATATTTTGTAGAGTACGCTAGCCAATGAGCAGGTGTCGGCTGGATAAGGAGCAGTGGCAGGCGTCGCTTAGCAAATTTTCATGACTATTACCATTGAAGATTAACATTTTCAGGTCTGAATGTTTGCTGATTTTTATTAAAAGGGGAAAGGAAATTTAATTCAGTGGTATTAAACCAACAGTGGAAAATTTAAATTCATCCATCTCTAGTTACAGCATTGCTCTAGTTATTCCTAGCACCAGCTAAGGTTGTGTGTTAGTGGATTAATTTAATGTTTATAAATTCTTCATTTTTGTTTTTTTAATTAATAAATGCTAATTTAAAAAGTGGTCTGTGGTTTTGGTTGTTCAGCTGTAACAGTAGTTCTAATGACAAATGTGGTTTCACTCTTCGGAGCCTGATGACGTGTCAGTATTTGGGCATAGGATGTAGTCAGTGTGTTGCTTAGGTTATGGGTATTTGGGTGGGGAGTGTCACCAAGCTAAGAGAGTCGTTGCTTGGACAAAAGGCTCTCAGATGCTTTGATTCTACCAATGAAAGTTGATCCTACGTGCAAAATGCCCTGGCTTACTGTTGAAAGGTAGGATTTAAGGGAAACACACTGTCACCTATACTGTTACAAAATATTAACCTATTGAGGATTTTCTTACCATCTCTTTATAATCTCCAGCCATCCCCATGGCGGTGGCTTCCCATGATTTCTGTCACAGCTCACCTTGAAAGCCACTTTGCTGTCTTTCGTTTTGCTGTTCGGAGTAAGAAAGCCGCAGACAGCCTGCTAGAGGATGATGGTTAAGAACGTGGTTGCTGTAGCTGAGCTCTTTGAGTCCTCTGTGCCTTTGTTTCCCCATCCATCCAAATGGGAATAGGAATAAAGACTCATAAGACTGTGGCAAAGACAGACTGACTAATACATGTAAAGCACTCGGGGTGCCTGGTACCTGCTAGGGCTATGCCCTTGCTGGTTGTTAGTATGATAAGACCTATGCTATATAGTGGATTTTTAGATGGGGGTGGGGGGGGTCATATTTCTATCACCTTAATGTCCTTCACTGGCTGTTTATATTTTCTGATCACTGCCTTGACCACGGGTGCAGCAGCTTTCCACTATGTAACGGGAATCACTGCATCTCTCCCTCCTGTAGGTGCCTTAATGTTTGTGGCATGGATGACCACAGTCAGCATAGGAGTCCTGGTTGCCAGGTTCTTCAGATCTGTTTGGTCAAAAGCTTTCATCCTTGGAGAAGCAGCTTGGTTTCAGGTAGGTGGCCAGAAAGCTGAAAGCAGTCTCCATCTTGTTCAGTCATCGCAACATGAAGTTTTGGGGCTTTTTTTGGGTTTGGTTTTTCGAGACAGGGTTTCTCTGTGTAGCCCTGGCTGTCCTGGACTCACTCTGTAGACCAGGCTAGCCTCGAACTCAGAAATCCGCCTGCCTCTGCCTCCCAAGTGCTGGGATTAAAGGTGTGCGCCACCACCGCCCGGCTGTTTTGGGGCTTTTGATTTGTACATTATTTATTTCCTCTGTGTGTGTGTGTGTGTGTGTGTGTGCGCGTGCGCGCGTGCTCGTGTGTGCGTGCCTGTGCGCTGTATGTGTGCACATAGTGTTTGTGTGGAAGTCAGAGAACAACTTTTGAGAGTCAGTTTTCTCCTACCACGTGGTTTCTAGGATCAAACTCAGGTCACCGTGCTTCCCAGCAAATCCATTTAGCCGCTAAGCCATCTTGCTGGCCCATGTGTGCTTGTCATTTTCTTTTCTCAATGACAGCTATTGTCGGCCTTAGATCCCTTCTCCCCTTAGTCTCCTAACCAACTGAGAGCTGACGCAGGGTTACTTACGGAAGTGTGGCTTTTCGAGGGGTGGACTGAATCTGGGAATGCATCAGGGCCAAATGATCCTTCCTTGCCCCGAGGCTGGTAGTGAGAAGCTGGGAAAGATACTGCACTAAGTCAGTTTGAGTCAAGGGGGCTGGAACACAGAAGAAAGACACCGTGGTGCTCACGGCATGCCCATCCTCTGCTTGGTGTGCCCGTGAGAACTGGACTCTCCCCTTTTAACAGTCAAGATCAGCTGATTGTGTGTTGGGGGGAGAAACTGGAAGAGCTCTTATCCACTAAGCCTTCCTGTGGATGGGAGGACGGGGTCCTATAGAACACAGCGAGGCTCAACAAGAACCTTTCACAGGAAGGTTGGAGCAGCCTTTTCTTTATGGGCTGTAGATTATGGATACTTGCATATGTACTGAGCCATCAGTGAGGATGTGCCATGAGAGTGCAGATGCCTGGATCGAGGGAAAATGGAGGACGTGTTGCCTTTCTCTTCTTCGTTATCAGGATACATACAAATAATTTTATAATTATTTTTGTATGAGTGTTTTGCTTGCATGTAAGTCTGCATCACGTTATGGGCCTGAAAAAGCCAGAAGAGGGCATCGGATCCCTTAGAACTGGGGTTATAGATAGTTGTGAGTCATCATGTGGGTGCTGGGAATTGAACCTGGGTCCTCTGCAAGAGCAACCAGTACCGTAAGCATCAAAGTCATTGCTCCAGCCTCTTATTCTCTTTTTTTGCTATGTGTCGTCCCTGCCTGTGAGCTCTCTCATGCCTCCTCCTCACATGGTTCTTCTCTCTCTTCTTCCTGTCTGCTCCAGAGATTTTGCAGCTGGAAGACCACACCTTTTCTCACTCCAACTTTTCTACCGTCTTTAGTTTTAAAATTATTTGTTTATTTATGTGTGTATGTGTGCATGTGTGCACGCAGGGTCGTGATGTGTGCGTATGAGAGGGTGTGCCAATGAGAGGGTGTGCCATAGTGAGCTTGGGGAGGTCGGAGGGCACTTTTGTGGAATTGATGCTCTCTTGTTACAAAGCAAGTGGGCTTTGTGTGTGAGGCAGCCGTTCCTGCTGCTGGGAGAACACAGAACCTACTAGGAATGGAATTCACATCATCAGGCTCGTGAAGCCGTCTTGTCTATCCTTCTTATGTTCTTAAACATACAATACTGATGAGTGCGTATGATAGGTACAGTGACATTCACACATATAGGGTAACTTTTTCCTGGAATGATTTTGTCTCACACCAGTTGTCCAGTACATAACAGTGCCCATTCTCACTCTTAATACTCTCTTGATTTTCCACAAAGAATTATATATTCCAATATAGTTTTCATTTTATTTTTCTTTGACTATACCACAAGCCCTGCAGGGAACAGTGTCTTTTGTTTCCTTTCTGTCTTTCTGCACATGGCATAGCACTCTGCATGGTGACAGAGCTAAATGCCTGCCTTCAGAAGGAAGAGAAGGTCTCGGCAAGTAAGCGTGAGATATTTGTTCCTGCCACCGTGAGTAGGGAAAGCCTTAGTGAGTCCTTTTGAATGGTGAGGTTACAGTTCTGAGTTTTCTTTAGCTTAACGGTCTATGACATTTCATCTTTACTGCTGTGATGTGAGTTGAACGTGTACCTTCAGTGACTCTTCCATGCCCCGCTGTGACAGTGGCTGTCTTTGAGTGTCTTTTCACCCTGCCATCTCCTCTTGCAGGTGCATCGGACGCTCATGGTTGCTACCTCTGTGCTCACCTGCATTGCTTTTGTTTTGCCTTTTGTGTACCGAGGAGGCTGGAGTCGGGTAAGTACACCTTCAACTGGATGTTTCCCTGTAAATCTGCTTTGATGTCAAAGCAGATTGCTGTTATGCTCAGAGGTGGATAATGAGACGTTTATGTGTGTATCCTTCCCTTTCTCCCTGTTTTTGAGTTATCTGATGACTTCACCTGGTTGGGGAGCGGGAATGTAGGGAGACCATGAATACAGATTACTTGGTACTGTGTTTTTAGGCTGCATTACATTTTACGCATTCCTTTAGTATGTTTTCCTTATAGAAGGTTGAAAATATGTTAAAAAGTATGATGTCTAAGATTTTGTTTTTGTTATTTTAGTGGTGTGTATGTGTATGTATGTGGATCTATGTAACTCACACACCAGGGCAAGCATATGATTGTGAGCTGCCTGGTGTGGGTACTGGGAACTGAACTGGGGTCCTCTGGGAGAGCAGTGAGCACTCTTAACTGCTGCGCCATCACTCCAGCCCAAGTGTGATGTCCAAGAAATATGATCAGTTAAATCTCTTATGGTTATTATTAAGCTAATAGACATCGCATCTCTATTATATGATCAGTTTCCTTATATACGGTATTACTAATAAATTAATTATACTTATATCACTTCTCCCTCCTTCTTTTTCTTTCCTTCAGCTCTTCCCATGTCTCCTCCCTCCAACTCTTTGTGTTTTCCCTCACTCTGCAAATTCAGTCTCTGTTTGTGTGATTATTATTCTCTACCCCTTCTCTCTCCCATACATGCACACACACACACATACACATACACACACACACACACACACACACTACACACATACACACACCATACACATACAGATACACAACACACACACACATACACATACAGACACACTATACACACACACACACACACACACATATACACCACACATACACACCACACACATATACACACACCATCCACACCACACACACACACACTACACACACACAGAGACACACTACACACACCATCCACACCACACACACACACACTACACACA